AGCCGTGCTATGTTCGGTCTAAATGATGCTTGCGGACCTATTGATCAAGCCGGTCGACCAGCACAAGCTCGCCAAGTTGCGTTCACAAGTGAGTTTGCACGAGCTGAGGTCTAAGATGCGATCGCGAGGAGGAGTGTTGGAGATGAATATGTTGATATAAGGCACAGAACCGCTAGCGCCTGTTGGACAGATGCAGAATGACGGACATGATGACGGTCAGTGATTACAATCGCGTTGACAGTCGCGCAGAATCTAGTCGTTCGTCTACTTCATTGCAACATCTATTTGGGTGCATTTTATACCTCGCTAACTTCGAAACTCTGGACGATTTATAGTGGCCTTGTCAATTGCATGTGCAGAGCAAACTCGTCGTTTGTCAAGAGCATTCAGCCAACACCTTTAGGGCCGATGCCCATCTTCAGCAGATGATTTGCGAATAATACATAAATGCTCCATTTTCACCTTGGCACTTACTTTTTCATGCCATACGTATTACATACGCTTGGTAAATATTTTATATATTTCCTTACAATTTTAGATTTTTTCATCTTGTGCTATATTTCGTATCTGGTATATATTTTTTGTTTTCCTACAAAAGCTTGCTGAATCGGGTTAGTGTTATTTTTAGTATACCATACACTGTGATATTTCTTGATAGTATACGCTGTAATATATATTTTTACTTTTGTAATTGTCTAAATTTATATTCTCATCTTATAGCATTTCTTTACTTTCGGCATTATCTGAAATTTTCTACCCCAAAAGCAGGACTTTTGTGCTACTTATTTTTCAATGCTCGTGGGTCTATGGAGACGATGTCCTCGGCCGTCGCTGGTCCTGTCTAGGAGCATCACGACGGCTGCGTTGCAACCCGCAGACGACTTGACAGTTGTGGATGATAAACACCGTGTCTACTATGCACGGATTGCACGCAAGCTCCCTACGCAGACGTTCCCTTGGCAGTCAATGCACCGCACGACGCGTTTTTTACAGAGCAGGGGGTTGAGTCCGACACAGGCGCTAAAGATAATGTCTCAACATGTTATGGTGCGTGAAATGTTATAATGATTATGTTGTTATTATTATTATATGGGGGTTAATATATAATTACTGATAATTAACAGATAATCTCTTACTCGGAGGCATTAATCGAGAGCAAGGTACGGTAGAAACAAGATTTGGAGTAAATAACCTCATTGACTAAATACGTTATTCGTGCATATTATCTAGATTCCGTGGTTCTTAGAGTTGGGTCTTAGCCACGACAAAATCAATGATATTATCATACGTCATCCAAACATCCTGGGAATCTCCATTACCAAATATGAAGCACTTGTCAAGTGGTACCTTTTTCACGGTGTGCCAAAGGACAAGGTAAGTCAATAAATTGAAGATGCTGAATGTGCATGGAAAACGTCATTTAACTAACATTTAATCGCTGATAGATCGCCTATCTGTTCAACATATTCCCACAAGGAGTGTCGTACAATATCCGAGACAATTTGGACCCAAAAGTAGCACTTTTGAGAGAAATTGGATGCAATGATATGCAGGTTGCACGAGTCTTGACGAGATCGCCGCAGATATTCACTCATAGCATGGAGCGACTGCGTGACAAAGCAAATTATTTGGTGGAGTTGGGTGTACCACGTGAGCGGTTGCCATTCATTGTTTCTTCCGTACCTGAATGTGTCGCATTGACTTCATCTCGAGTCAAGGAAACGGTAGATGCATTGGATGAATTGTTCGGTACTGGCGCTGGCTTGCAGGCTCTGCTGCGGAACTGTCGTATCGTTATGAGCAGCATCAATGGCATGCGTGAATCGTTCGACTACTTGATTTCAGTAGGCTTTACAAAGGAGAGACTGGAGAAGAATACGAGATACATCACACGCAGTGTAAATCGCTGTCTCCGGCCACGTGTAGAATTCTTGATGACGAAGAACGTTGATGTGGTAAGCGATATCACGTGGATTTTGACGCCGCAAGGTCGCTTTATCGAGCAGTATCCCGACTACGCAGCATACGTGACGAAATTTAAAGCCGACCCGACCACAAAAAAGAATGCTAAAGACGCAGTAGTGCCATAGAAACAGTACAGTAGTGTTGCCATCTAGCAGGAACTGCATGTACAGCTCAAAATTAAGAACATTGGGGCGACTACGGTACAACTGTTCGAACTGTTCGTCGTGTCCGTACACTTTGTATTGTTCGTACACTTTGTATTGTTCGTACACTTTGTATTACTTTGTCCTGCTGTCACGTTTTCGACTTGATATTAATATCTTATGGTCAAATATTTCCAAAAGATTTTATAAAATGACAAACTGTGCTCTCATACTCGAACCAAGTCGAATTCCATCGGAGATACTCACCTTCTGACCCATCCAAAATGGCCCCTGGGAATTCAACGTCTCCGTTGTTGCCCGCTCCGACGCTTATGAAGGGAATGCGTTTTAAAGACAGTAAAACTGCTTTTTATGCAGTACAAGACTATGCACTTTATCACAATAAACAAGTAAAAGTTGATCGACGTGGAGGTAAACATCGTAAAATGGTGTGTGTATCTACGGAACCGTGTCCGTTCTTCGTGCGACTGTACCTGCATAACTCCAAAATGGACAATACGTGGTACGTATCAAGTGCCAATTTAATGCACTCTCCAGAGTGCACGTCGACTGCCAAGCCCACACAGCGTCAGTTAGTGGAGAGTTTCACTTTTCAACACGCACTGGCGTCGACCCCCAATGGCACGGCCGCCCAATTATTGCAACAATTGCAGGGTCGAACAAATTTACGTACAATCTATCGAGCCAAGCAGATTATGAAACGAGAACTACAGACACAAGTAGGCAACTCCTTCCGGAAAATTCCGTCACTTTTACGGAATTTCTCCGACTTGAATCCAGGCTCATTTACCAAATATGAAGTTGGTGGTCCTCAGAGTCAAAAGCCTGGAGCTTTTTTGAGGGCTTTCGTGAGCTGCAATGTATTTACTGAATCGACGACATTTAATCAACAGATTTACGGACTTGACGTCTTACCGTGTAACAACAGTGAAGCAAATTATCAAGGGGTGCAGATATTTCTATTGGGGAAAGATGGCAACATGTGCAATGTGACTATTGCCGCGGCTTGTTGTGATGCACCATCAAGTGAGAATTATCGATGGTTCTTTCGGTGTGTAGAAAAATGTGGTGTGAATCTACGATACTGTCCGGTATTGTGTGCGATTGATGCCGAATTGTTGGCGGTGGAGAGTGAGCTGGGACTCACTTTGCGCTACTGTACGAGGTACATTATCGAGCAAGAGCTGTCGCTTATGGGGTCATTCAGCAAACACCATCATGCATTGGTATGGGGATTACAAGGATCAGAAACCGAGACGGAGTACAATAACCGTCTGGAGTGGATCGGAACGACCTGTGGGCTTGGTGTCGAAAGCTATCTACGACAGTTTCCTATGGAACGTTGGGTTGTGGCGGGGAATATCGGAAAAGTAGCATTGTACGGGTGGCGGAGTCGGACATTTTTTGAGACCTCGGACCAAGAACAGCAAGCTGGTGCAGGAGGACACGGGCAAAGTGGCACTGGGGTGGGTCTTGGAGGAAATTGTGGCCTAGAAAGCGCTGGAGTCGGCGTAGCTGCAGCGGCGGTCGCTCCCGGCTTATTTACTAATTCAAGTCCAAGTAGCTCTGACTCTGCGGTTTTAACTACAAAGGGACATGATCGGTACCGGGAAATGCTACCTTTTACGTTTTTTGAAGCAGTCGTGACGTCTTTCGTCCAAGATGCATTTGAGCGCAGCATGCTAGCAGCAAAATGGAAGCAACAAAATCGAATGGTGACTCAATGTGCGCAAGACCTCTACGATGCGCAGTGCAAGCGCATTGGCGAGTACAAAGTCAGTCGTGCCTCAGAAACTGTAGCATTTGTGGCGAAAATGAACAAGGACTCAGGTGTTCGCCGTCGTGTAGACTTGCAGACCAGCACCTGCACGTGTGATTTCATCGACCAGTATGCCATCCCGTGTCGCCACCTCATAGCCGTGCTGCTATTTTGCGAGCAGATGAACTCGGTCGTTGAACGCTTTGCCCCTGGTTACCTTGTGGAAAACTACATCATGGCTTTCAGGGGGAAAGTCGTTGAACTACCGCTTGATTCAACCCTTAGTGAGGATCCCGCTTGTGTCCCTCCGACAACGCGCCGCACGAAAACTAGAGCCAACGATAGCGATCAGGACGCTAGCACAGTATCTCGTCAAAGACTCAAACGTTCTACGCTTGCATCAAATGCTGTGGTGACAGCCGTTGAGAGTGAAACTCAGGCTGTTAATACAAAACCAAATTTAGCACCGCAGCGTGTTCGACTGTGTAAGAAATGCCGGGGTCCAGGTCACAATTCACGGAGCTGTTCGATGGTAATTCCGATGGTGGATCAAAGCATCTGACCGAAATGAATGTACATGGATGATGCTGCCATGGACATTGAGATGTAGGGAGGTGGTTTAGTCCCTGTCTGAGTGCAAGATTGCCTCAGAACAAAGCCGTACGCCAGTTTCCGTGCGACATTGAGACGTTTTTGTGCAGCCGGAAAGCATCGACGATGTGAGAATCGCAGCACGGGAGTCAGACGCACGAAACTGAGGAACGACGACGGCCTGCAGATTCTTTGTAACAATAGCCACGGTAAGCGAGGATCACAGCAAGTTGATGCCCCTCATCCCCGCGGATGTAGCTTGATCTTCGGCGCATTTGGAAGCCTTGTCCCGCCAGGAACCTAGCGACTCGGTAGGATTTACTGGCTGTGCGTTCTCGTGGCCACTGGTTCCATCCAAGTATTGGGCAGCTGAATATACAACGTCCAGGTCTCTCAAGTCATCGTTGGCGATCGGTAATCGCGCTGGTCACTTGTTCTTATTTACACAACTCAGTACGTGTGTGGTCGTGCAAGAAGTCAGCTGACGGAGAAGCACCGTTGCTTGTGGTAGTAGAATCCGTAGCGGCAGTCCTCAATACGCGGCTGAAACTGAATTAATGTAGACGTAATTCGTTCGAGACGTCGGTGATCTCAACACTATCTATTCAAGAGAACTAGCATGTACGGTGGTATCAGCGTAGCAAGAACGCCGAAAATTAGAGCATGTTCGCTGGTTCATCACACCTGAAAACACTTCGGGAGCGATTTTTGGGATATTAGATGATAGCGCTGAGACAGTAGGCTTGATAAACATGATGTTGGTAAAAATTCATTAACACCAAGACATGTTCTTGGTATCTGCTCTTTTCCTCCTGAGCGGATTTACTCAGCACGTACACAAACTCCGAGTGGGATTGGAAAGCCCAAAACATGTCATCGTCCTTAGTCAAACTTGAGACCACCACCTCCAGCCTCAAGTCGCTCGACATGATGACGCACATGCCGGATTTCGAGCAGAATCTCTTCGAAACCAGACTTCATGTGGTCCCAACGAGCTTGAGCGCGATCCTGTCGTCTCAAAATACTCTTGAGCACCTCACCCCAGAACGCGCTGTTAAACGCGACAGCAACGACCACCATCCACTGGAACCACGGGATATACTCGAACCCGAAAATATCGTCCATGATAACAGGGACGTTGGACACGAGGATGGTCAGCACCAACGACATACACGCCGCAAGCTGCATATATCCGTTCGACAGCATCCGCGTGAAAACAGGCTCCGTGAAGTGACGCACTGTGTAGGCTCGCAGTACTTCCGTGAAAGCCAATCCCAAAAATACCATGGTCTGTGTGCGTCCCAAACCCGCCGGAACGCAGTCGTAGTCACCACCTTCGCAGTAGACGGTCGAGTTCTCAAAAAAGGTCATGCTCGCGACTTCCTCACCAAAGATGTACGTTCCGTCGGTGTACTGTGCTGCGCAGTTACCATACGACTTCCACCCATCGTTCATTCCCTCCCAGCGCCGACACGTCACGTCCGTGTAGTCTGTTCCGTCCGAACCACCGCCAGCGTTGTAGATGTCGTTCACCAGTAGCTCACCGAAGTTCCAGTAAAGCCCCAACAAAAAAGTAGTCATGGCACCGGCCAGAAGTAAGAATGCGTTGAATATCACGAGCAACCACAGTCGTCCGACTATCAATGGAGCACCCTTGTGGCGCGGCTTGTCGTTCATAATGTTGGGGTCGCCCTTCTCCAAGCTCAGTGCCACAGCAGGCATACCGTCCGTGAACAGGTTAAGAAGCAGGATATGCAAAGCCTCCAGCGGAAGCGGGAAACCCCCAGCCACGGAAATGAAGATCAAAATGATCTCGCCGATGTTTGTGGACAGCAAGAATATGACAAACTTCTGGATGTTGGAGTAGATGACACGACCTTTCTCCACTGCCGCCACAATGCTGCAGAAATTGTCATCCGTTAGAATCATGTCAGAAGCGCCCTTCGCGACCTCCGTACCGGAAATACCCATTGCCACACCAATATCTGCTTCTTTGAGTGCAGGCGCATCATTAACACCGTCACCAGTCATAGCAGCGATGAGGCCTTGGCGTTGAAGTGACTTCACAATCTCGATCTTGTCTTCAGGCTTAGCACGGGCAAACACTAGGGTCCGAGAGGTGATCTCGTCGATATCGGCTGGTGGTAAGTACATGTCGCCGTTCATCCGGAGTTTGGTACAGTCTGTTGCTTGGTCTCCCAGATCGGCACCGATTTGCAATAGGTCGATATTTTTAGCAATTGCGACGGCGGTGGCGAGATAATCTCCCGTGATCATCACAGTGCGGATCGAGGCCGCACGTGCAGTTGCGATAGCATCGCGCACTCCGTCGCGCTCTGGATCGATGGAGGCTACAAGTCCCAGGAAAATCAGCGGCTTGGCCAAGGCAGCAAACTTCTCATCGACATCATCGCAGTCCTTGGCGTAGGGCAGTTCTTGCATAGGCTGAATGGCTACCGCGAGCACACGCAGTGCCTGCGATGACAGTGCCTCCACAGCCTCGGAAATCTTGTTGCACTGAATGTTGTTCAAAGTCTCGAACGTACCATCTCTCTGGCAGTACTGAGTGCAGTTACGCAGAATGTAATTTGGAGCGCCCTTGACGCTGGCCACTAGCTTCGGCGGCACGTTACCAGGAAGCACTAGCGTATCGAACATCGCCGAACCGTTTACAACTGGAACCGCGTTAACAGTGATCATCATCTTACGCGACGAGCTGAATGGCACCTCGACGAGACGCGGATAGTCCACAACGAGATTGTCTTCCCATATACCAGCTTTCGCTGCAGCAACAACTAATGGCGCCTCAGATGAGTTGCCAAATGGTAGCCAGCGTGGAGTTTCGTCATTTTCGTCTTCTACTTGCCTGAGTTGAGTATTACTGCAGAGCACGGAGGCCATCAGAGTGGCTCGAAGTTGAGCATTTCCAGCCTCCGGCACTGCTTGGTTCACGCCGTCGGCCGAGAGAATTGAGCCCTCGGGGTTAAAACCCTTGCCAGTGATAGAATACTCTCGGAAATCGCCCCAGAGTTTGACTGCAGTCATTTTACCCTCTGTCAAAGTGCCCGTCTTGTCTGTACAGATAACTGAAGCTGCGCCAAGAGTTTCCACGGCAGCAAGCTTGCGCACTAGTACGTGCTTCTTGACCATCTCGGCTGTACCGGACGACAGACAAATTGTCACCACCATCGGTAAGCCTTCAGGAACAGCACTCACAGCAATTGACACTCCTGCCATGATCATGGTAAGGTAGGTTGGTCGATTGGGATGTCTCGGGTCCTCTGTGCCGCGAATCATGCCGACAACAAAGACAAGTGTGGCCACACTCAGTGCAATCATACCCATGATAAAGCCCATGTGGTGCAATGCTCGTTGCAACGGGGTGAGCTTGGGTCGATGTTTGGCAACGCAGTCACCAACAGGGTTCCGGATCCATTTCTTCTTGGCTGCTGTATCCGGAGAATCACTTTGAGCTTGTAATAGTGCTGCAATGGAACCTACACGAGTGTTCATCCCGGTCTCGACTACAACACCTCGTGCATTACCTGCAGTGACTGTTGTTGAAGAGAAGACCATGTTACTAGCCGTCAATTTTGAAGGTTTACCTGCACCAGTTGGTGGTGCATTGTACTTCTTCGGCACATCTTCTGACTCACCAGTGAGCAACATTTCATTGCATTTTAAATCCACACTCGTAAAAAGTCGAATGTCTGCCGGTACAACGTCACCTGTGACAAGAACGACAATGTCACCAGGAACCAGCTGTTTACTGTCAACCACTTGTTCCATTCCGTCACGTATGACAAGAGATTGTGGACTTGATAAACTGGCCAATGCTGCTAGTGCGTTACTGGCGGAATGTTCTTGAAACGTTGCAACAGCAGCATTCAGCGTCACAATAGCAAGAATAGCAATCCCTTCCACCCATTCTTGGAGAGCCAAGGATGCCAATGATGCAAATAGTAGCATGGCAATAATAAGGTTGTAAAATTGCAGTAGAAAGACTACAAGAACAGGTGTCGGTACTTCTTCTTCCAAATCATTGACACCATAGCGTAGTATCCGTCTTTCGACGTCCATTCCATTCAGACCACGTTCAAAATTAGTATTTAGCATCTTCGAAATGAGCTCTGTAGATCGTTGATGCCACGTCTTCTCGTCTGTTTCATTGAGCGTCGCAAAGGATTCACGTGTAGGCACTGGATTTGCAGCAAGAAGTAACTCGTTATCATTTAAGAACCGTGACCGATGGTCGGGTAATGGCGTATTAGGTTTGACTGGGGATGCGTTGGCATTGGTAGCCATCTTGGCATTGACATGATAGAGGTCAGAGGAAGAAAAGGAGCGTGTGCCAGCACTGGATACATCCACAACGTGGTTTAATGGCACTTCAACTGATCGGGACGTAGCTCGTGGTGATTCCATTGTTGTATAGTTGCTATTGTCTCGAAGTGAGCGGGAGGGTAAGGAAACCTCACTCTCGTATCCAGACATTATAATTGGTATATCAGATGATTGAGAGAAAGAGAAAAGGTCGGTTATGTATTGGGGTTTGTGGTAGTCCAATGGGGAGGTGTGAGGCCTACGATGCCAATTTGAAAATGAACAAGAAGGAGTTAACGGCAGGATTTAAGTATTATCGGATGGGGTGAAACTGTGATGGATGAGAATGTGCAGTCTGCGAAGCGCACGTGCGTGATAGAAAAAGGGAAGGAAGATGAGCGGATTTTAATCTATAATCTCGCTGAACGGGACCTTCACTCTCGGGTCTATTAGACAGCAAACGGATGCATTTCTGTACGAACAACACGCGTGCTACGACTTGTTGACAATAATCTGGTGTTATTCAGATCTACTACTTACTACACGCGCACATTCTTCCATCTAGGCGAATTTTTGAAACGTTAATCACTTTGTATATCGAGTGACTGGCGTTAATAGGAAAATACAAATCTTGAAGATCATGCTGGTGTAACGTCTTCTGCCCTTATAGGGACGCCTGAATCTTCGGAACGCAGTGGCTTTTCAACGGAATGCAGTTCATGTAGCATTGTCAATGCCAACATGTTGACTGCTCTTTTTTACAAACCAATAAATGAAGCCACAGCTCGAAGGCAACTTTGTAGACGTGAAGTTTAGCAAGTGTATGTTTGCCAAGTTTTTTTGCGACCGCGCGCGGTACCGAGGAAGCAGTGTTGATGTGGAGGTGTCACAGCATCTATGTTGTGACACTGTATACTGTCTATGCACTTTCTTCTCTCACGCATCAACTGACACCAGAAGAACTCGTCTATGTGATACGTTAGGATGGTAAAAATCTATCAGTTAAGACAAGTAATCAGTTAGGGAAGTTTTACTTGAGGCCATTGTGTATTTGATCAAGATCAGAATGATTTAGCAGTTAAGACAAGTTAACAGTGACGGCAGTACCAGATAAGGATAGTTTTGTCTGTCTCTTTCCAATACAAAATGTCTCGTCTACATGTAAAAGTACTTGTTACATGTCCTACATGTTTCATAAGATCTCTGTATGATATTGGGTCGACATAGCGCACGGATACAACTACCCTCAGGGCATTGAACAACTACGGAGTTACGTAGGTTGCGTGTGACGCACATCAAGTCGATTCCAGATGTTTGTAACAACTATGATCATGTTGAAGTTGTCCAAATCTTTTTTTTGCACACGGTTTATGTGTGCAAAATATCCACCTGCACTTTTTCCATGCATGTACTCGTACATGTCGAGCATGTACAAAACACTCAAGTCAGGCGTGGCCTTTCAAACGTTTGACGTCGTTATGATGTGCATACTCATCCTAAGAAAACAATCATCACAATACCGAGAGCTTTCAACTCGTGATCTGCTAGAGTGACGTTTCGCTTGCAGTAATGTAACCCCAGTGAAGATTGCCCACCCCTTCTATGGGATATGCGAAGCTTCACGCTCCGGCTTCTTTACGTGTACAGTACACGAATCCCTAATATGGCAACCAGTTTACATGGTACTCCAACAGCCACAGCGTAACGCTTGCTGTCAGTACGGGGCGCTTTTACATAAAGAGAATGTGGCCATCTCTTATGGGCTGGTCAAAGATCATAGGCGGCGCGCGGGACGCCAGGCCTAATGGCTTTTCGATGAACGGCAAGATCCAGAAGATGCTATTCCAGCGGTCTGTCTGAAACCGAACACATATGACGACAGCAAGTTCAAATGGCTCATCTCATTTCCCGTTACCGTGACCGCCGATATCGCTGCTTAGGCCGCTGGCCCGCGGCTGTGCAACCTTAACGACAGCGTTTGTTCACGAAGTAGGCTTGCAAAGCCAATGTCGCACACTCTTGGCTTAGAGTCCCCGCAATGTTCAAGTAAATAGCATCGTTGCAGTTTCTGCCATAGCAGAAAGATATTGTGAATGTCCTACTCTACTTTGCTAGAAACCCTTTTCACAATATTTTTAGAAAAAAATAAAAATTTAGCATGTAAGAGGATATAAAAAAGATGTAGCACAAGATATGAAAATAAAAAATATAAACTCATTTGAGAAATCAAAAAAATGTAAGGAAAATCAAAATTGTAACATGTCGTAAAAAGGTACTTTGTTTTGAAGTGCTTTGTATACCGCTCCAAAATGCTCAATTGGTTGGCTTGGAGCCGCTAGTTTTGTCATGTCATACGTATAATATACGCCATCAAATATTTTTTCTTTTTTCTTAATTTTTATAAGGTGTACAGTATTTTCAATCGTCTTACCTCGTGGTACATTTAATTATTCCAGTATCTTGGATTTTCAGTTGGAATATCATTTTTTTTAAAAATAAGGTTACATCACAATTATCGGGAAAAAATCTTAGGGTATCTTTTTGTAATTTTTTGGCTTATCCGAATATCGATAAATGATGACACCAATACTGATTACTTAATATTTACCGGTAAAAAAGCAAGGTGCTTTTTTCTAACAAGTCTCAGTTTTCGCCCTTATGAGTTTGACCACTTGCGAAAATGAGTGACACCACGCTCGCTTTTATTGATTGCTCTGCAGGTATTGCGGGTGATATGCTCCTGGGTGCACTGATTGATGCGGTACATTATAATGCTATTTTTATTGTAGCCCAAGAGTTTGTTAATGGGTCTTTCGTGTTTTTATAGGGTGCTCCATTGGATGAAATCAAGCGCGGTCTCGAGTCATTGCATGGAATTAAAGGAGAGTGGCAGTTGAGCATCACCAAAGTGTGGAAAGGACCCGGGAGCATTGCGGGGACCAAAGCAAATGTTGGCTCTATCTACCAACATAAAGAGGTAGTTCCACCCACTCCGGACAGTGCTCATCAACATGATTACGGACATAGCCATAGCCATAGTCATGGACGTGGTCATAGTCATAGTCATGGAGACATTCACGTTTATGAAGATAAGGGGAAAAAGGAGGTGGAAGATCGACCCGATGAAAGTCATGACCATATTCATGACCATGACCATGACCACACTCAGACTGGAAAGGATGGAGAACCCTTGCGAAACTTGAACGATATTAAAGCTCTTATTGCGGAGAGTGAACTGTCAGATTGGGTGAAGGAAAAGAGTGTTGCAGTTTTCACGTTGCTGGCGCAGGCGGAAGCACACACTCATGGATCGTCGCTGGATGAAATTCACTTTCACGAAGTGGGGGCGATTGACAGTATTATCGATACCATTGGCTCTGTGCTTGCACTCGATCTGCTTGGTGTACGAGAGGTGCATGCATCATTCCTGCCCTTCTCTTCGGGAACTGTCAAATGCATGCATGGAGTTTTGCCGGTTCCACCGCCAGCTACGTTCCGATTGATGATTGGTGTACCTGTGTGCCCAGCGCCGAAGGGGTCAGTTCATAACGCTTTATTTTACATTATGGTACCTTACGTGCACGAACAAACTTACTGTGTTATTGTAGAGCGAAAGGTGAGCTGGTCACGCCCACGGGAATTAGTCTTATAAAGGCATTGGCGTCTACGTTTGGCGAGCCTCCCACGTTCATTCCCACGCACACTGGTACAGGTGCTGGTACAAAGGAGTTCCCGGAGCACGCCAACATCGTCCGCGTTGCCATTGGCACGAAGATCGACTCCATGGCTTTCAAGAAGAGCTATGTCAATCCTGCTGTCGCCACTTCAAGGTCTGCCGATCTCGTGTGTCATCATCCTTACACGACAGAGAAAGTCATCGTTCTTGAGACCAACATGGATGATTTGAACCCGCAGGTAATCGGCTACGTCTTTGAAAGGCTGTTGTCGGTATACCACGCGCTTGACGTATGGAAGCAGTCCATACAGATGAAGAAAAATCGCCCTGGTGTGTGCCTCAGGTTCGTACACAGATTTGTTCGTTTGCTTTGCTCCTAGATGTGTGAGAGCTTTTCTAAAATGGTTTGCTCAGCATTTTGTGTCGCGCTGAACACGAAGAAGAGATCGTAGAGATGCTCTTTCGCGAAACCACGACACTCGGTATCCGCCGGTATGTGCAAGCGTTTGCACTTGCTGTTTATATTCTTGCTTCACGTGAGCAATGGACCCAATGAGCTAGCGCATCATACTAACTTTTACATTCTGTAACTGTACTTTTGACCAGCAATGTGATAGAGCGCGTCTACTTATCTCGCAACTTTGTGTCTGTTCCCGCTTTTGAGAGCTCCGTAAACGTGAAAGTTGCATTTCTGGGCAATGAAATTGTGAACGTGCACCCAGAGTTTAAAGACTGCCAGGCAAGGCGCTGTTCCACTTTTCAATCGTGCGAAGTCGTCAATCTAACTCGAACATTTTTGCTGTCTAGGCAATTGCGGTGGAACAGAACATACCTTTATTACAGGTGATTGACGAGGTAAAATCTCTTGCTCTTTCTCACATCGACGCACAGCCACCACAATAAGCTTGTATGGTCACACCTGCACTACATCAAGTAAAATGCAATGCTGCAGTCTTGCGTTAAATGTTCAAAGCTTTTTGTCACTACCCACACAATCGGCAAAGGCCAATATCTTCATGACGCCATGGACTTCTCATTGCACCTTCACCATCCCCGTTTCTGCTTATCTCTTGATCATCTGCCAGATGTCCTTGAGCTCGTGCATTCCAGCGCCAAAGCAAAAAGCGGCAAGACGACCGGGAATAATCGACTGCACGAGGTTTGCAGATAAGTAAGCGAACCATGTATCGTAGATCAGTACTTCGCCGTTGAACATGGCGTCCACTGCAGTCTTGGCTGTATCCTTGGCATTCGCAGTGAGTCCAGGCAACGTCATGCATACTGCTTTCTCTGTATTTGCAGTCTTGCTGAAGTTGGTCGCCACTGGACCCGGGCACATGCACGTGACCGTAACACCTGTCGAACGCAATTCGTAGCTTAACCCTTGGCTAAAGCTAGTCACGAAAGCTTTACTGCTGCTGTAAAGCGCCGCCGTGGGTATTGCAAAGGCACTTGCAATGGAGCTGATGTTCAAGACACGACCAATCTTACGGTCCACCATCTGCGGTACAATTGCATGCGTCAATTTGACCATTGCGTGCATGTTGAGGATCATGAGTTCGTCCACTTCCGTCTCTTTCAGCATTGTAAAGTCCTTGGTAAGACAAGCCCCCGCGTTGTTCACAAGGATGTCAATGATCAGTTCCTTGTCCTTGACAAACTTGATGAGCTTGTTGATACCTTCACTTGTTGCCAAGTCGCACACACACACCAGCACTTCCGTCGGTCGATTCACTAGTTCAATCTCTGCTCGCATTCGTTCCAACACTTTCTCAGAGCGTGCAGCCAACACAAGCGAGTACTTTTTCTCCGATAACAAGTAGCTCATTTCCCTTCCAATACCAAACGATGCGCCTGTAATCAATGCATAACGTTTTAGCTCAGGAACCGTAGACTCAAAGTTCCAGAAATGGTAGCGAGTCAGTGCCAAGTCAAGACTCGCCATGAGAAAATACAGAAAAAGTAAAAAGCGCACAACATGCACAATAGATGATGCTTCGATATAGGTCAAAGCAAGTACCAACATTCCCGTTAAATGCGCAGGTTTCCATACTATTTTCATTCGCTCTCGACGCTTTATAGCTTCTCCCGACATACTGTATCCAAGTGACACGTAACATGGTGAAAACGACGATACAGTGTCTAGTATTCGTGTATTGTTACACAAATCTTATTCGTCTCGAAACTGTATTCTATTATTCTATTAACATTAGGCCTGTCTATATCCCTATCGGAACTACGTGTCATTTTGGATTGCGCAATCTTTTTTTTCTGCTTGGGTTCATGCTGGAGCTACTGACGTCCAAGATCTATGGGGCACCGGCGTATATGGTGGTGCCTTTTATTGCTCTCTCAGTATTGTATGTCGTGCTGGTTATTCGCTTTATTCTTCACATGCGGGGTCTTAATGTGAGCTTCACGGGCAAGAAGAAAAAAATCGCACTATTGTTGGGTCCACGTCATGCTGGCAAGACGAGGTTTTTTCATCTTATCCGTGACGGAGAACACGTTGATACGGTCAGTTCTATGAAGGAATTGACTTGTCGCTTTATTGTGCACTCCAAGTACAATTTGGACAAGTTTAATGCTGAACTTACAGTTGTCGACTATCCCGGTCATGAACGTCTTCGCTCGTACGACAAGACATTTGATGCCAATACATTAAAGAGACTTGTCGTCTGACCATGTGATCTTTGTTTGTTGTTATTTTTGCTGTGATGTTTGTAGACGGGTAGTGGATTTCTATCCCATGACGGGAACTATCGTCTTCTTTGTGGATGCCAGCGACATGCCGTCGTTTCGTAAAGCTGCCGAGTACGTTGCAATTGTTTTTTTGTACTAATTGTTGAGATGGAACTAAAGTGTAATGGATTTGCACTTGCTGTTTATGTGTAGGTTCCTACATGACATTTTTGCAAACAAGAAGGTGAATGACCAGACGCCTCCAATCATGGTGGTCTGCAATAAGAGCGATATTTCTGGAGCTGCCAGCCCGCAGATGGTGCGTGACGCATTGGAGAAAGAATTGACTCAGTTGAAGACGACGCGCTCGTCCTTGGAGACCGAGGGCGATGATGACGAGCAGGACTTGTCTCAAGTACCTGTCGGACGTGATGGAGCTCCGTTCCAGTTCGATGTGGACGCGCCGTGCGAGATCTCATTTGTCAAGTGCAGTGTCAAGGACGCAGATATTCATGATGTTGTGCGCTTTATTCAGCAACATTAGGCGATTTGGATCAGTATCAACACAACGTGATCAATAACGAATATACAAGAATTGTTGGTCGTAGCGATCTGTCGTAAGCAATCTGTTTTGAGCAAGAAGACAGATAATGCACATGTGTGTGTGTTTCAGTGGATGGATTTAGTTTGTGGTGCTATGTGCATGTGTTTTCCTCTTGGCTTGCCTTGCAGTTTATGTTTGACCCAAGTTGGCGATGCTGTTGCCCAGACCATAGAGCTGACCAGAGTATTTGACTGCATTCTCGACCTTCCCTTCGAAAAAGACCTCGACCATTTTAAAGAAAGTAGCGGCCGTGAGTAACGCGTCGGATCCAGCCTGGTGCATGATGCCTATTCTCTCTACCTTGAGATCCTCAGCCAAGCGACTAAGTCCTCCCACCTTGTCAAAGTCCATCGCTACATGTTTCAAGTCATACGTTGCCGGAAAGTACGTGTGCAACAAATCAAAGAACGTGTCTTCTTCCGCCGGCAGTGGCGCACAAGTCAGCACTTTCAGTAGATAACCAAAGTCCGATGAGCCGTGGAACGAAACCCATTTGACATGGTCACCTAGTACAAGACCCGATGGTACCAATAGCTCTCCAAACTTGGCGACTTCAATTCCCTTCTCTTCATGTTTAGCAAAGTCAATTCCTGCTTGTTTCAGGATTTCAATAGAGTCCTGAGCATACATGTCTTCACTAAGACTAAACTTGAAGTTAAATTGCCACACGGGCTGATCTGCCATATATGAGCCATCTTCATTGAAGAAAGCCACACCCAATTGAATGATTCGTAGCAGATCTACGTTACAACGTAATGTCTGATACTGATAATCAGATGATGTAGTAAAGGAACCGATAGGACGCGCCACAACACCAGGATATTCCGTATCCATTGCCACGTAACAACCTTTAATCACAACCTCTCGAATCGTCTTCATCGTTTCTTCCAAATTAGTCGCCCATACGTCTCGGATCTCCACTTTAGCGGGCATTGGACGAGTCGACAGCATTCTGGGACCTGAATCTGAATTTGAACTGTCTGTAGAAAGACAATGAAGCGTCGATAGACAATAAAAATTGTACGTGAATAACCGGAAATGTCTGTAGAAACAGATAGGACGATTGAATGAGTGATGAAGACGATATTAGAGCTGCACACGCCCGCGTAGTAGACCGTCACCTGGTCGAGAAGCTTGACTGTTATTGTTAGGGAGTGTTTAGCCAATCGTACTTAACGGATAAGTAATATGCTGTCATATTTTGACCAGTAAAAACAAGTAAATTAATACTTATTTCTGCCCAATCAAAACATTTTATAATTTAACCAATCCTCAATCGTTTAATTATTGGTCTGCATTATTGTCATTAAGATGATGTCGCTATCGGTCTTGACCGCACGTTCTCGGCTTCTGTGCAACCGTGTACCTTTTCATTGCACTTCTATTGCATCTCATTCTCTCAGCAACTACATGACGGTAAATTTTACTTCGTTAAACGGTCTACAAGTGTCAAAATCGTACAAATTTGCAACATTCACGAGTCCAAAAGACGAAATTCATGAAGATAAGCACGGCAATGTCTTGAAGAAAGAGAAGAACGAGAATCAGCGAATGAGTGAAGATCTGAGTCCACTTGAACGTCTAATGCAGCACTCGCAAGAGTTTCGACTGAATGGGGACAATGACACCAAAGGAGACGAGGAAGACAACAAGGACAAGGACAAGAGCGAAAAGCTCGCCAATTCTTGGCAGATGGAGAGCAATAGCATGAGCAGTCGCTTCTCTACAGGTGACTCCAAGCACAACACTTTCCGTCGTCGTGGAAATTTTGTGCGTCATTGGGAGCTGGGAAGACTCGCAGTGGACCATTTGGTGGAGAAGGACATGGACGAGATTAACTACGACGCAGAGCTAGAGACAGTGTGGGATGAGGAACAAGTGAAGCAACGCAAGTTCGACCGTGCATTGCGTCGAGAACATGACAAGGACCATGTGTGTACCAATTGTGGAGAACGCGGCCATTGCGCGCGCAATTGTCTTGTACCGCGGATCTGCTCTAATTGTGGCAATTTGGGCCACGCCGCTCGTCAGTGCAGATTCAAACGAAATCCGGACACGATCGATGAATTTCTCATGCAGGAAGAAGACTTTCAGGAGAAGAAGAAGCAGAAGCGGAAGCTGAGAGAGAAAGCAGCCAAAGCAGTGAAGAACCCGGGCATGCCACGCCCCAAAGAGGTGCCCACGAGTGACTTTAACAAACGTAACGAGAGTCTCCGAAAGGAGCTGGATGTAGAGCTTGACGCATACGCTGATAAGCTGGAGGAACAGGCTCGGAAGCGCCGAGAAGTGAAGGCGAAGAAGGAAGCTCAGAGAGAAAACGCAAAGCTGTCCGAGAAGTAGAGAATGAGAGGAAAAGAAAACCACTGTTAGACACAACGAACTCTTGTAACATCATAGACTCAATCACTCCCTCTTTGTCGCAAGCATGTTGTAAAGAATAGCATGGTCGCTTAATCGGTAGCCCCAAAACCACCGCCACCAGGCGTGTACAGCGTCAAGACCTCACCTGGCAGCACATCCACCGTGTTTTTGCCGCCCAGGTTGACAGTACAACCATGGCGTAAAAGCAAGTTGAGGCCGCGAGCGCCGGGCTCGCCACCCTCTAGACCATAGGGCTGGAAGGCACGTCGCTCCGAAAGGATGGAAACAGTCATGGCCTCGAGGAACTCTAGCTGTCGCACCACACCGTCGCCGCCATGGAACTTGCCAGCACCACCCGATCCCTTGCGAAGATGAAAGGCACGCAGAAGAACGGGAAAACGCTTCTCCAGAATTTCAGGGTCCGTGATGCGCGTGTTAGTCATGTGCGTATGGATTCCACTGCGGCCGTTCCAAGACGGACCAGCACCGGCACCACCAGCAATCGTCTCGTAGTAGCCACCCAATGTAGCGCTACCAAATGTGAGGTTGTTCATGCAGCCTTGGGAAGCTGCACAGGTACCAAAAGCCTTAAGAATCACATCGGTAATACGTTGACTAGTAAGCACGTTTCCACCGACGACAGCGGCATTGGCGCTTGGGTTCAATATGCTGCCCTCGCTTGGGAAGCGCACCTCAATAGGCGTCAAACAGCCTTGATTGAGCGGAAGATCTTCGCCAGGCAGCAAGCAGCGCAGACAGTAGATGATAGCAGAGTAAGTCACTGCTGGAGGCGTGTTCACGTTTCCATAAACTTCTGGTCCAGTACCAGCAAAATCGAACACAGCAGAATTGGAACGGCGATCAATCGAAATTTTTAGGGCAATTTTCGTGCCGTCATCCATGAAGTCTTCAGCATGCACCACGCCAACTTCAGGCAACTTTTTCTGCAACGAGAATTCATGCAGCATATTTCGTACCGCGATCTCTGCTGCGTGCTGGATGAATTTCATATAGGCGGTAACAACGGACAGCGAATATTCGGCACAAAGTTCCTGCATCAGCACCACACCGCGTTGATTAGCTGCCACCTGTGCACGCAAGTCGGACAAATTGTCGCGCAAATTGCGCGTGCCGATGCAAGGTCGACCCTGATCATCCACACGTCCCTTTTGCAAAAGGATATCCGTGATCTCTTCCTCACGGAACTCGCCCACCTTACCGTCAACCAGCTTGAAAGCCATAATCGCCGCGCCTTCTTCGGACAGCGTCTTCGATAATGGTGGCATTGATCCAGGTGAAATGCCACCGATATCAGCGTGATGCCCACGACTAGCCACAAAGAACTCGATTTTGCCACTTGTTTGATCAAAAACAGGTGTTATAACAGTAATGTCTGGTAGATGCGAGCCCCCTGCCAGCTGCGGATGGTTCGAGACTAAAACGTCTCCGTCGCTAAGATCGTCACCCCAAAACTTGAGTTGGTGACGTACAGCTTGCTGCATAGCACCGAGGTGAACAGGAAGATGCGGTGCATTCGCTACAAGTCCTCCATCGGGTCCAAACAAAGCGCACGAGAAATCCAGACGCTCCTTGATGTTCACGGAGACCGATGTACGTGCCAACGTACGGCCCATCTGCTCAGCAATACCCATGAATCGATGCGAGAATACTGAAAGCTGAATGGGGTCGAGCAGGACATCTTCAGAGCGCAAAGCAAGGCTATCATTCTTCTGTCCCGTAGCCTCTGCACTGCTGACTAAGAAGAGATCGCCACTAGGCATGATCTGCACCTCCCAGTCGGGCTCCACAACCACTGTAGCTGTGCCTTGCATAATGATGGCCGGTCCGCTATACTTCGCACCACGCCTTTCAAGGAGATCTTCATGGAGGTAGACGGGAATCTGCTTCCAAGCTTTTTCCTTTTCAAAGTAAAACGGCGTCATCGAGAGAGGTGAACATGACTCGACAGCATCTACTGCGTTGGCAATAGCACTCTGCGCAGCGTCTCTTAGGTCAGGCGACACTGTAGCGCGCACACGAACGTCGTCAATAAGAATGGCGCGATTCTGTAAAACAAAGCCGAATTCCCGCTGATACTTCTTCACAAAAGTGCTATCAAATTCGAATTCGGTGAGAGCGTTCGCAGTTATTGCTGGGGATTCACCCTTAGTACCCATCGGGCCGCGTGTCATAACAGCGTTGTCGGTGCCGTCATAACGCATATTGAGGAAGTACTGCACTTGCACATCCTCGCGCTGAAATCCATCATCAACAAGCTCATTCACGGCTTCGTCGGCAATTTTCGTTAAGCTGCGAATCAAAGCGGGTTTAGCGTCTGCATTGTATGCTGCTGAAGAGGGTAGCTGTTTGTCCACTACGCTATCTGCCACGCTTAAGCCATATGCCGATAGAATACCGCTATAACGGTGGATGTAGACTCTCGACATACCCAACGCCTTTGCGATGGAGCAAGCATGCTGCGGTCCAGCGCCTCCAAAGCATGCCAGAATGTGTGTACTGATATCATATCCCTTGTTTTGCGTAAGGTTTCGAATAGGGCGGCACATTGCCTCGTTTGCAACGCGCAGAAACCCCGATGCCACCTCTTCCATCGTATACTTTGCCCCATTATTAGCTGACGACGCATTAATCTTCTTCGTAAGATCTTCAAACGCTTGCTTTGATCCAGCCACATCTAGCGGTTCATCCTCGTTTGCGCCAAAGATCTTCGGAAAGAATTCCGGCAGAATGCGTCCGGTGACAAGGTTAGCGTCGGTAACACTAAGGTACCCATTCTTCCGGTAGCACACGGGACCCGGGTGCGCTCGCACGGACTCTGGGCCAACCAGGAAGAGTCCGTTTTTGTAAAATAGTCGCGAACCACCTCCAGCAGCCACTGTCTGAATGTCCAGTTGTGGCGCACGCACTGTGACGTTGGCTGTCACGCTTTCAAGCACATGTTCAAACTTGCCGTCAAAACGGGACACATCCGTGGACGTGCCACCCATGTCAAAACCGATAACCGCGGGTTGCACAGACTCAATACCCGACTCAAGTGGTCGTGTCGTGCGAGCATAGCCCACTACACCACCAGCAGGACCCGATAGAATCGCTCGGTGTCCATGGAAATGCTTCATTCGCGCCAAACCGCCATCACTCTGCATAAAACTAATGTTCACTTGATCCAAACCTTCTCCAAAGCCAGCACAAAACGACGCCACATATTTCTTGATCACCGGTGTGAGGTAAGCGTCAGCACAAGTCGTGAATCCACGTGGAACAGCCTTTACCATAGGCATCACCTTGGAAGACAACGAAACCTGCGTAAAACCCAGCTTCACAGCAATGTCGCGAACCTTTTCTTCATGTCGTGGGAACGTGTACGAATGTAGCAACACAATTGCGACACTTTTCACTCCATCATCACGTGCTGTTTGGAGTTTTTTTGTAAGGTCTTCGACGTCAAGATCCTTGATCACTCGGATATAGTCCCCACTAATCCCCTTCTCATCCGTTGGTAACCGGTCCTTCTCATTGCTTATAAGCTGCAGACGTTCATCCACTTCAATCACCGAATCGTATAGTGTCTATACATAATATCAACATTAATAATAATCCAAGAAAACAAATATCCTGTGAGAATTATGAAAAAAGAGACTAAAAATCCTGGACTTACATCTGGCATGTGGATCTCAAGGTCAAATATCTTGGGACGGGACTGATTGCCAATGTACAGTAAGTCATGGAACCCCTTAGTAGTGACAAGAACCATTCGTTCTCCGTCTCTTTCAAGCAGAGCATTGGTTGCTACTGTTGTTCCCATTCTAATGCTTTGAATCTTGGAGGTGTCCACAGGCTGATCACGTGGATGTAAGACACCTGTCATGGTCTCTAACACACGACGGATACCCTCTCTGAATACATGAAGGAAATATTAGCCATTAATTAGTAATCAGTATAGAATCTCTTAGTATACTTTGTGATACATACCGAGGAGCATCTGGATAATTCGCTGGATCTTCCGACAATAACTTGATTACCTTTGAATGGACGTCTACGACGTCTCCTTGTGCATTGAGCACATCCATTTCGGCGTAAACGTCGGTGAAAGTACCACCACGATCGATAGCGAAGCGGAATACACGCATAGTTTAACTCTGATGCTTGGGGTCTTGAGGGCTTTAGGGTAAAATGCACAATGATAAGCGTGACGCTATAAAAATTTGGATTGGTCGATTTTCCAGAGCAATAAAATACAAAAATCTGTGGCTGGTCGATATATTCGATTAAATCGTAAAAATTATCACGGCTTCATTATAACTTCAATTATTACTGCGATGTGTAGTTCCAAGGGACACGAGCGTCTCTTCGGCAATCATTTAAGAAGATAGTTGTCATCAGAATAATCACACTAATCTATAGTTTTTACGTATTTCCAGCCTGCGCGGTAGACCTTGTAATCCTACAAACTATGAGCCCAAGTTCTACAAACTTGTCGTTGGTGTAACAAGGGAACACCTCAAGCCGCTCTCACGAAGGAAGAGCGATGTCAACGAATTCGAAAAGCACCAAGCCCAAAAACGAAGTGATGTCACTGTGCTTACGCTCCTACAGAAGACGAGCTCAAGGCTCGACAATTGAGGCTCGACAATTGAGAATTGAGGCTCGACAATTGAGAGCATTGAGCTCGTCTTCTGTAGGAGCGTAAGCACAGTGACATCACTTCGTTTTTGGGCTTGGATATCGGCCAGCCCGATCATGAGCTTAAGTGGTGGTCCACCGTCCAAACGATTCTGGAATTAACGCCACATCATATAAGCGCCAGCGGTATCCGAGAAGCTGCCCGCAAAGGTGGAACGCTTGGAGATTCCCGATTGACATTTTACAATCTACACTAAAGCCAGCACGTTCAGGTGAGCTAGGACAGTATGTGAATTTCTCTCTCCTACAGTCTGATCCGCCTGAAACACCCGTACAACACTGGCTTCTGCTACGCATATTTTAGTACTAGATTGATGATGTAACAAGCCAAGGTTTACACCGGTCCGCTAAGCTCACTGCGCACGAGAAGCTATATAAGCTTCTGCGTGTCGTAAGCGAAGCACTTGTTTAGAAGCTCGTTGCGCGCTTCGCTTGGGCGACCGTCAACGGTTGGTTCAGCACTTCAGCGCTGACCAACACCACCACCGCACGCGGAGGTTAGATGGTTTAAATGCTTCCTCATTGTAGCTAAGGTGCGTGTGCTAGTTACACGTGGCAGCTTCTTTAAGAAGCGCCCGTCTACACTTGATAGCACTAGTAATTGTGGTGGAGCGGGGTTCACAAAATTTCTGATGTGATCCCAACTCTCCACTGGCGCCCAGACAACTGACTATCGGAGGGGGTACTCCGTTTCCGTGCAATTTTCCTTCCTCACCTTGTGTACCCGTCGGTAGGGCGGATAGCACTCTTCACGGTGGACTTGAGTCGATGCTGAGCTTAACCGTGTTTGGGATAGGTTGGGGGTCGACCGTGCGGAAATCTTCACGCGGTCGAGGGGTTCTTGTAGGTGCTCTATCCGAGTCACCCTGATCTCTCTTGAGATCGCCTTGTCCAAAAATTTAGATACTTGATCCACTTGATATACTTGATCTTCTGACCACTTGAGCCGTCTCGCGATCTTGTACCTTGTCATTTTCTTGTTTTGCTGCGTCCAATCGCAGGGGGAGTTGTTTGTTTTGAGAATTCTTGTAATCCCTGGCCAAACAATCCAGGGATATCACTTGTGTCTAGGCGTAGCAGATGCTCTTGAGTCGTCGGGGGTCAAAGTTATCCCACCCGGAAGAGAAGCTTGCGTGTTCTTAGAAGCAAATTGAACTCTGTTAATATTAACCAATCAAATACCAGAACCTATGATCTTGACTATCTGTAGCTCAGGATCTATTGCCACGTATCGCCCTTTCGGAGAAATCAGATCTTGTAATGTGGTCCACTCCAATATCGCCGCGATCTGGATCGCTACCTCGCTCGGATATAATACCATTTTAGTATCGGATCGCGGTACTAAATAATTAGTATCGGATCGCGGTATAAAATAATTAGTATCGGATCGCGGTCCGCTGGATCACGACTTGTCCTCTTCACCGTTTCTCGGGTCATGTGAGATGGTCAATCTATATGACGTGTCATGTCCACCTCATTTCAGTCTTCCAATGCAACGTAATCCACACCAGACCGTCTACCACATACTTGGATGTACCAATCCTCCTTCTTAGCAATCGCGTTCACGCGGATCACCATTGAAAAATACTGAAGATCGCAATTGCGTAGTTTCTAGGCCATATTTAACCCACATAGAGCTGCAAACTCCACCTATCACTCTTTTCCATCCCATTCGACATCATCTCGAAACCTTTCTGCGAGATCTCGATTCATCAATATTGGCCATTTCGGACTTAACCGAAAATATGCTATCACACTTTGCCAAATTCACTCCTTCGCTTCGCCACATAGTCCTTCCCACGACCCGTCTCTCTGAGCCTGCGTGAGTACGAATGGTCCTCAACGTGGATATTGGTGATCCTCACCTCTCCCAACATCATAGGGAGTTGATAGTGCATTTGACGCAGGGAAATGATAAATAATCCCTGGCCAACCTCTACATTAACCTCCTAAGCATTATGTTGCTCAGTTAAAGCAAATTCGAGGCGTTTGTGCTCGGAAGCGTAGAAATGCATCCGAGGCAAACACCCAAGCCACACCTGAGTCCATCAATAAGACTCAGGATGAGCTTTTGCGTGAGCAAGCTTGGAATGAGGCGCTCAACAGAGCTGTTGAGACGCTCTCGGCCCGGTCTGATCAGCCAAGGCCCAAATTGGATGGACCCTCCGAAGTTTGATATGACTGCCCCACATACGATTGTCCACTAGATTTTAGCCGTGGAGCAATGCGGTATGGCGCAGCTCATCGAGGACGACACCAGGATGGTGTCGTATGTTATGTCAAGTTGGCGTGGCAAAGCGTCAGAGTGAGCTTACTCTGCGCTTATGGTAAACGCTGTTGCGTTTCCATCATGGACGATCTTTAAGTCAAAGATTCGTGCCATGTAACAGCCGCCTAACAATGAAGTTTTTCTTTAGGCGCGCTTTTTCGGAGCACGACAGGCGAAACGATCTTTGTCGTGCAAGAAAATGTGCAGGAGATGCGTTCGCTGTTTGCGTCCATTAATGTGGGTCCGAAACCGAAGCACATTAAGGTGCCTACGCTCATTAACGGACTACGGCACGGCCCATCGCGTCAGGCCCTTTTATAAAGTTGCCAAAGACGATGGAGGAGGCAATTGTATTTGCCATGGTTGAGGAGAAATCCTACAACAGCGCCTCGGCGACAGCATTTTATAAGCCGTCGGCCGAGAAGTCGAATGCACTCCAATGGAGTTAGGCAATGCAGACATGGTCTGCTACAAGTGCGGCAAGCGCGGCCATATGATGGCTCGCTATATGCCAAAGTAGCTGCTGGTGCTAAGGCAGCCAGAAAAAAGGTCTCCCAACCCGAAGGGAAATGCGAAAACCAGCGTGCACGACGCAGAAGTTCATAATCTGCCAAAGATGGGTCCGGAAGTGTAGGGTCGGGATGCCCTACTGTTGCGGACTCCGAAGCTAAGTCTATGTTCAGAGTTATCGAACAAATGGGTAGCATAGTCCCTGAGGTTCCGAAAGGTCGTACCTCAACCCTTTTGGTCTATAGAGCTCGAGTACGAGGCTATGACCAAGTGATGACCCTTCTCGTTGATTCGGGTGCATCACAAAACTTTGTGAAATTCGCGGCTCTGAAAAAGAGACCGGCGAGTTATGAGTCGCTTTGCCACGATGGCAAGCGAGAAGAGGCGATCATTTATGTAGCAAACGGCGCGCTTGTAAAATCGGAGAGAGTTCAAGTTGAACTCGCCTTCAGTTTCAGTGACAAAGAGAAGCTCACATAGCTAGGTATGGAGAGTCCGTATGACCCCATCCTAGGCATGCCTTGGTTGGCTAAACACCAACCATGGATAGAATGGCGAACAACTAAAATTCGATAACCTTACGCAGAACAACGGAAAGGATGTGCTCTTGCGAGAGGCTTATGCGATTGATGCTGTGTCCAACACAGTCGAGGGTGCGATGACGGTATACCAGGTACTACCCAGCTCGTTGAGCCTGGAGTAGCTGGAAGTTCCCTGGCAGAAAGCCAGGTGACACATATTTTAACCAGGTCGAAAAGACTGGTGTTCTGAATGGGGCGATGACAGGTAGTCATGCGTCTAATAGTCCTGCACAGAGCCGAGAGCCTGTGGCAGTTGATGGTGGGATGACAGGAAGTCAAGCGCCACAAGAACCGGCACGTCAAGCGCCAAAAAAACCGGCACAGAGCCAAGAGCCTGGTGCGGTTGGGAGGAGTGCGTTAGCTGAGATAGCAACGACACCTTCTTCCAGGTCAAAGGTCGTGGTGACTCGAAGAACGAGCACCAGACGTATTAAGACGATCAAGGGCACGTCGAAATGAGTGAACCTTGGATCAGTCTCGGTCCAAGAGGACGGACTTACTAACGAGTTGTTCGAGGCCGTCGAAGACAAAATGCCGGAGGCATCCTTAGTTGAGGTGCTCCAACTTGTCTTGGAATTTGCCAAGGAGATAGTAAATCTCTTGGAGATGACGTGGGATCTGTTCCTGTCCGAACTAAAGGAAGGAAAGATTCACGAGATAGTCGCACCAGTTCCAGAAAAGAACGTGGTGGACTGTTGCTCGTCGTACACAATGGACGAGAGCGTCTTGGAAACCGACAAAAAGAAACGGTGTGATGCTCAAGGCTGGGATGCCTTGAAGGACAGCCCGTTCTATGATGTTCTGTGAAAACACCGTGATGTGTTTCCAGCAGAAGTGCCGAGCCGCCTACCGGTCGATAGGGCCCATCAGGCACGAGATTGATCTGGATCCTGGCACCAAGTATTGTGTGACGAGGCAATGGCCGTTGCCGAAGGAACAAGTCGATTACATCGATGAGTTCTTCGACAAGCGAGCCAAGGTGGGACATGTATGTGAGAGCAAGTCGCCTCACTGCAGCCCGACCTTATGTGTGCGTATAGCAACAGGTGGATGGCGCGTGGTTTATGCGTATAATAAGCTGAACACG